GTATGTATACATGTATGTGTGTATATATTATATATGTATTTTTTGCTTTTGGTTTACTTTATGTTGCATTTTTGGCCTGTGTGTGGGCACCCTGGTGTGGGTTTGTGTGTGTGTGTACGTATACATATGTATGTATATGTGTGTATGTGCAGTTTTATCTTTTATGGTACTCAAAGTTTCAGGTGATCTGGTTTATTGTGCTGCCATCATTTTGAAATATTATATATGGGGCATCAGTATTTCTGTTATTGATTTTATTACTCTTGGCTCAGGGGATGTTCTTTAAAATCTAAAATCAATACATATATAATATATACACACATACATGCATCCATATTTGTACATACACAAATACAAATACATACCATAAGAATACAGATGACAGAGCAGATTTATATTCACTACACCCCAAAGTCATACACCCAAATATAATTTCACCAAATGCCATCTTTGATTAGACTTGAAACATGTGGTCATTTTTTCCATCATATACACTTGGGGATGTTCTGAAAATTCTTGAAAATGAAAAGTTCCACAAAAAAAAAAGAAACGGGCTCCTCGGATCAGGCTAAGTGGGCCTGAGCTCACTCCGGTGACTCATTCACCACAAGAGAAAAACGGATTCAGGCCGAGGCCGTCTGGCTGTGAACAGGCAACAAAAGACTGATTCAGGGAAAGCTGGAACCGGAGGAAATGTGCTGAGAAAACCGTCTAAAATCAGGAAAGATTAACTCATTCACTGCCAAAGACGTCTATAGAGGTCAATTCAAATCCAACCGCTGACTGCCAAAGGCGTCTATAAAGGTCTTTTATGTTTTTAACGAGAGTGTCTGGGGGACGATCTGCTAAAGCTTGTCCGTAAATATGGGCTTCTAGACAGAGTATGTAGTAACAAATTGAGCCTCTAGGGGGCAGTGCCACTTTTGATGGGAGATGAGCATAGACTGTAGGCAAATAAGAAAAAGGGAACGGTTCTATGAGAGAACCTGTCGCCGGTGAGACGCAAGTCTAGGAAGAACGGATTAAGGTAGAAACACATTTTTTTTCCTGATGAAAGAAGAGAGTCTACTCTTTCTTTTGGTGTGTTCGGTGTTTACATAGTCATAGCACAAACTATTCTGTGGCTCTAGAAAAATCAGTCAAAATGCTCAAAAAACTCTGGCAGTATGGGACTCTGTTCTGAAAATGGCTGCCAGTCAATGAGTTAATAGCTAGCGATATGCTAACTCATGCTAACTCGTTTTTGAGTTAGCATGATTTAAACAGACTCCCTTTTGGTCCCTTTTGTTGCTGTTTATGATGCTTATAACGCTCCATGTTTCTCACAGATCACCTCAGAACAGAATTTAACTCTAGAAGTCCCAGAGAATTTCAGTTTTCCTGCAAACCCCCCCCTTCTCAAGTTTGTGTACTCACTCTACCTTGCTAACTGTCCCTAATGTAGCTGTAATGCAGATAACCTGAGATATGACCAGCCCCTGTACAGGAGACTGGATAAAGGCTGAAACTAACCCTGTAATGCCAAATGTGTCATATTTGATTCATACGGTTTCTGAAATGTTTTGGGTCTGACACCTTTTGCATAATTTAATGGTAAAAACTTTGCTCAAAATCCTATTGTACACAATCAGATACACCTGATAACAGGGGGCAGAAGACTACACAAAAAATAATCTGGACTTATCACACAGTAATAAATTATTAATATTAAAAATTAGGGCTGTCAAAATAACGCGTTAATTTCGATTAATTAATTTAAAAAAAATTAACGGATTAAAAAAAATAACGCATTAATCAATGTTTTATTGACCTTTGACCCGGAACCGTTCTGGTCAGTGACCGTTAGACCAGAGACGGTTGACCTTTATTACACTCGAAAATGAAAAAGGGAGACGAGAACGCGCTGCCTGGGTCATTGATTACATCATTCAGGTATAAAAAAAGGCCTGATGGAAGTGTTGACAAAAGTAAAGTCATCTGCAATGTCTGCACAAAGGAATTTGCTTACCACCGGAGTGCGTCAACTCTTAAGTACCACATCAGTGCAAAGCATCCAGGAGTTAACCCGCAGGTAGGACCAAGACCTAGCACGTCCTCTGATACAAGCTTTAGCTGTCAGCCTCATCGTCAAACAACACTGGAGCAAACACTGAAACGGAAACTGAGCAAATCTGCATGTGACCAACTTAGTAATTCCCTTGCTAAATGGATCGCAGTGTCCTGCAGACCAGTTTCAGTGATAGAAGACAGGGGGTTAGCAGAGGTTTTGCAAATAGCCTCTTCAGACGTGACATATAACCTGCCATCACGAACCACGATTATGTCAAAAATCCAGCTGCTTTACGACACTGAAAAAAAAACAAAAGGAGATGTACTGGTGGGAGCAGAACATATCGCGCTGACAGGGGATCACTGGACTTCAGTTAGCAATCACAATTACCTCGGTGTTACGGCACACATCATTGACTGTGAATGGAAACTCCAGTCGTTTGCGTTAGCGATGCTAAAAACGGAGAGCAGGCATTACGCCGATGCCTGCGCCCAGCAGTTTTTGTCCGTGGCGGAGGCATGGGGAGTTCAATCAAAAATCACCACAGTCGGCACAGACAGCGCCCGAAACATGATCGCTGCGGCGAGAAAGCTTCCATATGAGCACATGCCTTGTGTTGCTCATATGTTACAGAGAAGCATCTCTGTTTGCCTCACAGACAGTGGGTTTTGTGACACATTGGCAAAGTGTCGTAAGATAGTGGGACATTTTAAACATAGTCCTGCCAATACAGAGGAGCTCCACCAGCAGCAAACTCAACTTGGGCAAGTGACCCAAAGTCTGATTCAGGATGTTACCACAAGATGGAACTCATCACTCGCCATGATCTCTCGTCTCCTGGAGAACCAGGAGGCTATCAAGGCTACACTGAGCAGACAGAAGCACAAGCTGACTATGCTGACTACATCTGAGTGGGACAAACTTCAGAGGCTGAAAACCATCCTTGAACCATGCAGGTAAAAGATTACACACATGCACACACACAAAATGTCTCTTTTTTTATTTATTGTAAAGACATTTACAGTATTTGATTTTGCAAATTGTTCAAGTAGGCTAGGCTACTACTATATAACTGATATAGCTTAATGCAGTGTGTGCCTCTCTTATCATCTACTGCAGATATGTGACTGAGCTCCTTGGAGGTGAAACTTATGTTTCCTGCTCTGTGGTGTTGCCTGCTCTTTGCCACCTGTACCGTACAATGGAAGTTTCGGACGAGGACCCAGCCTATATTGGAACATTTAAGACTGCCTTTAAAAAGGACCTGTCTGAACGGCAAGCAAACCTCAATAATGGATGGCTCAACATAGCTTCAGCATTAGACCCACGCTTCAAAGACTTGAGGTGTCTTAAAAAAGGAGATAGAGAAGCAGTGTGGACCAGCCTTCAGGCTCTGCTGGATAATAAACCCAGTACAGCTGCCCCAGAATCTGTAGAAGAGCCACTGAAAAAGAGAAGCCTCCTTCTCTTTGCTTCAGATACAGATTCAGATGATGACATGGTGGAACCAAGCAGGGCTCTGAACCACTACAAAGCAGAGCCAACCATTGGCATGGAGGAATGCCCGCTGCAGTGGTGGAAAACTCATGCAGGAGCCCATCAACAGCTTTCTGTCCTGGCTCGCAAATATCTGGCTGCCCCTGCAAGTTCTGTTCCTTGCGAGAGACTTTTTTCACTTGCAGGTAACATAGTCCAAAAAAGGAGGGCAGCCTTGAGCTCTGAAAATGTAGAGAGGCTAGTTTGTGTCAGTGACTGGCTGAAGGAGAAGTAGAGGTGAGGCAGATGTGTCTACAACTTGAAAAATTGTTGCTGTTGAAAGTTGAAAGTTTATGCTCAACTATATTGCATTATGTTAAATGTTTGGTTGCTGTTTATTGAGCTGTTGTAAAGCTGTTGTAAAGTGTTGATATTGAGGGGAGTGTTAATTTATTTTTATTGTGTCCCCTACGTTACTGTGTGCCACATATGCCACAACGACACATGTTAAACGTCTGAAGGCATGAAAAGTGAATAAAAGTTTTTGAACTTTAATGCATCTAATGCTGATTATTAATTTAATCATTTTAATTGAAATATTTAAAATACTTTCACAGAAAAAAATGTATGCGATTAATTTAGATTAATTAATTACAGAGTATGTAATTAATTAGATTAATTTTTTTAATCGATTGACAGCCCTATTAAAAATGTATTTCTGTTTTTAACTTTTTACATATTTCATTAAAAGGCCAAATAAAGACTTCAAACAAAAAAAAGTAATTTTCTGTTTTGTGTTATACTTGGATCAGGCTTTAAAGGGCTAACAGAGCATGTTCGAAATTTTCATTACCTGCCCCAGCAACATCAAACCTTTTAGCAGGAATATGTTGATAAGTCATATCTATATCTTTTATTTAGGAAAACCTATTGAACAACCAGATATAATACGGGTCCTAGTTCCTGAGCTGAGAACAGGTTATGACCAGGCTTTTCCAACAAGGCAGAGCCTATTTCTATTGTCCATTCACCAACAGACTCGTTTATATTGACACTCATAAACAGAGAGGTTGAGCTAAAACCAAAACGCTAATGGGGCGTTTACATCTGAAAACAGGTTTATGAGTTGTGAAGTACATTTGGGGGGACTGGAGGCTGACCAAAAAGTCTCGTATCTCTGGGTTCTCTAGTGTTAACAGACAAAAAATAATAATTTCTCCACATCAGCATGTAAGAATGGCAGCATTTTGATATTTAGCATCCCCGTTTAGCATGTTAGCATGCTAACTAGCTTAGAACATCAGACATCAGAGCTAAAGGAATCCTTCATCCTAAATCATGGGAAATTGTAGATATTGTTTTTGGACACTGAACCCCTAAGATTCGTCTGGATTTTACCACCTTGGCCTCCAGTTTTGCTCTGAGGGGAAACTTTGAGCGATTTGTGACCTGAATGTGTCCATCAGATGACACACAACACTTCTCTGAGAAACGTTTTAGCCTGTTTAGAGATTTATCTATTCTGTTTGAAGAGTAAATTAGCTAGGATTATCTTGTGTTTATAGATTAGCTTTGGTTGTATATTATCTTTGGTAGCATATAAACTTTGGTTTTGTTTGGGATTAGCTTCTGTTGTGGATTAGCTTCAGTTTGTAGATTAGTTTCTGTTGGTAGATTAGCTTCTGTTTTGGGTTAGCTTTGGTTGTATGTTAGCTTTGGTTGTGGGTTAGCTTCAGTTTGTAGATTAGTTTCTGTTTGTAGATTAGCTTTGGTTGTGGGTTAGCTTCTGTTGTGGGTTATCTTCTGTTTGTAAATTAGTTTCTGTTGTGGGTTAGCTTCTGTTTGTAAATTAGCTTCTGTTGTGGG